ATGGAAAAATCTTACTTTTGGTGGTATTTTTCCCCTTAATATAAATTACGTTAAATTCATTTAGAAATATTAGATTTATATAATGCGTGGTTTCCACTATGTCATATTTAATGACTAAGTATGTCATATTCTTAAATTATTTGAAACATACTATATAAAAAAGAGAAAATAAATGTACCCTCAGTCTGCAGTTTTAAGCACATACTGCAAAGCTCTTGTCCCAAAGTAGCTCTTTTACCAGCTCATGGATATTAGACGGTTAGGGATTTCTGGGAGCTTATAACTTTGTATGCAACAACCAAAAAATCATATTTTTATGTAACTATTTTTAATATAAACCATGAAAAATTTGTTTTAGCCACGAAAGAAATTGACTTCAGGCACGTAACTGAATTTTTTCATATAAATGAACATAGCATCATGGTACATTGGCAATCTCTCACACTTGTGCCACACAAACTAAGGCTGGTAGAAAAAAATTAAAATAAAAAAACAAGTAATGAGAATTGAGTAAAAATATGTTTCACCAAGCTCACCACCAGCCAATCTCATAAATATTGCAAACACAAATGCAATTGGCCCACTTTCGATTCGGCATGATGTGGCACGGTCCACTCAACCGGCTGCGACGCTTCGGGACGCACTTTTAGAGTAATTGAAATTTCCCTAATGTGTGCACTGTGGTCGCACAACTAACAGACGATGTCAAATATATGGCGGGAGGTAAATATAGGTGGACACCTACACACACATACACACACGTACAAAGCTGCATTAGCAAATGTGTGCATATAAATTTCATAAAGCGCATAGCAATTTACACAATTGTTATTATTGTTATTGCAATTGCCATTGCGTTAAAATATTACTCTCAACAGTGTTGTTGTTGTTATATTTATATGTTGCTCTTGTTGTTTTTGTGCTTATATTTTCAATTTCCCGCCGAATGCAACGATTTCTTTTATTTACAACCTCAACAAATCGTTAGCGCCTGCGCAAAATGTCCAAATAGCAACAACAACCAAGTGTATGTTGCACCAACGCAATATATGGGCGTTAAAGCGATATAAAACGGCGAAAAGGAGCAACGCAACACCAGCGAACGCACTGGCACAAGAGTTACGGCGCGCGGCACACAGTTAGTGTGTGTGTGGCTATGGTATGTGCCGCCAGAGTTGCATTCATGTTTTGGCCCGCAAGTGTGCACGAAATATGCATCGCATAGCATTGCCTACCCCAAGGCGTTGAAACTGTTTGTTGTGCTGCGCAGCTGGTTGCTGTCCGCGCGCTCTATCTTATGCCTGTGCTTTCGAATGCGATTGTGTGACTGTGGCGTGCTTTTAATTTGCGTGAAGGCTTTGCGCATGCGCACATAAAAGTTAACGCAATGCATTGTAGTAGCATGTGGCAAGTATAAAAAAGTGTATGCATAGATGGTGGACTGCGTGAAAATCCCCAAATGACCAAAAGCGATTTATTTCTAAAATAAAAGCAAAAAAAAAATTGCAAGCACAAGTAACAGCTAGCACTGTTCTTGTCATGCATTAATAATTATTTAGAAAATAGTTTGCGTTTTTTTTTTTCAAAAGCAAAGAAAACTCGTTCTTCTCAAACTTGCTACAAATTGTTGCACTATTGCCAGCATTGTTCGTTTGTGCGCATGCGCGGCATGCTGTTAACGCCTTCACCACTGCCTTAACGGCCACAGGCGGCAACAACTTTTCCAAGTCCGCTGCTACACATTGCACGTGTTGCACTATAACTGTCCACAAGTTGTAGCAATGCGCTCGCTACACAACGAATTTATGTTTTTCAGTTTTGCTCTTTTTTGTTGCAACTTCGTTTTTTGTTATTTTTATTTTGCCATTAAATTTCGCATATCATAAAATATCATCGAATATTTTAGTGGTAACACTCCTTAGTTTTCACCAATTCGCTGCAATGGTGTGTGGGGAAAATAAATTTGGTGGAAAAAGAAAAGTGTCGACGCCCGAGGAAATAAATTCTCTGTGTTGCCGCCAAGGTGGGCCGCTTGCAACAAAGGCGTAAATAAGTATTTATATATTTGTGTATGAATATTGCGCTCTTAAGCGCAGCAACTAGCACTAATAACAACAATAACAGGAACAGCTTTTACTTTGGATTTTAGTTGGCAGTTATAGGTATTTATGCATCTAATAAGCAGTTGTAGGTTCATATAGATCTAAGAAAAATTAGCAAAAGTTATTTTCAAATAATTTCCTAATAAAAGACAAAATAATATTAAATTACCCCTTAAAAAAATATATTTGTGCATATATATATATATATATATATATATATATATGTTAATTCAAGCCTTATGCGATTTCTAGTGAAAAAGATATCTGAATCCTATTAATATTTTCTATACCGTAGAGTATCTCACCAAATACATTTTATTATAACGACGAATAAAGCACATGAGTGCTTATGTTATAATTTATTATATTATATTATACAATTCGCAGATTATTATTCGTTTATTCAAGATTTACTTGAGTTTGTTCGTTCATATCTAAAATTTACTAGGTTATAGAGGTTGAAAAAACATTGTTTTTATGTTTTAATAAAATCTCTTTAAACAACTGACAAAAATTAGTAAAAAAAAATCGGTACTAAAATCGGTATGCTGAAATTGAAATTTCGGGATTTGAGTAAATGTCAACACAAACTGTCAACTTCAGATAAAAAAAAACGCATAAAAATTGAGTAACAAAATCGGGATCCCGAGTATAAAATTTCGGGATTATAAAAAATGTTAGTATTTAAATTTTAAGTTCATAGATAATTTCATGAAGTCATAAAGCAGAATCGAAAATCGCCACCAATATCGGGAGCCCGAAACTAAAATTTTGGCAATTTAATAATAAACAGCACTTACTTTCACTTCGGTAGATAATTGAATGGCATCATAAAAAACGTTATTATAAATGAACTAACTAACTTTTCTGAGACTCTTGAAACTCACTAAACCACAGAGATACGAGTATTTATATAATATCATGTAGGTGATACAATTGTGATATATGTATGTAGGTAGGTGATATATGTAGTTAATCGGTATTCGGTTTTATATTCAAATTTTGAATAGTATTTTTTGATGATATTGAGGTAAGAACTGTATTTGAAATCTTCTGCTCGCTGCAGGTTCTGAACTGTTCTGAGAAGTTACCTTTATAATCCTATGATTATGGTTTATAGAGCACATGCTTCACATGCTAAACAACAGTTGAGCAAATTTTCGAGCAAATTTTATTTTCCCACAAATGATATGATATGAAATGAAATATTCTAAAAAGATGAGTTTTAATTGATTTTTATTATGTTTATAGTCAAACTGCTCTATTTGTTTGATATTTGCAATATATGTAAATGATTGGTCTAGCAAGCTTAAAGTCGGTCGCGTTTAAATCAATGACTACATCGCAATTGATCCATGTGTCTTTAGATTACATTGGTGTTATAAATGTGAATTAACATGGTGACAAGGTCAAAATATTTCATTCACCTAAGTCTCAATAAGTTTATGAGTTCAACACGTTCTTCTTTATTTATTAAAGGCCCAGTAATATTCGAGAATTTACGAAAGTACCGAGAGCTATAAGAAAATATCAAACATCAAGAAATTTGGGTCATAATTTGGGTGTAACAAAAAGTTTAAAAGTATCACTGAAAGAATACTTTTAGGTATTGAGCTACTCTGAGTTTTGAGTACTCTTAAGTATTTTTAAATTACTGTGAGTCCTAAGTACTTGGAGTACATTCATATTTTAAAAAACCAAAAAGCAGACTATAGGTACATTTAAAAATCAATTCTTCAGTTATTTTGGTACAAATGAAGGCTAAGCTTTGTATTTGGAGGGTTAATTTTTTGGCTTTGCGTGAAAGAGAAAATTATTGCTCGATAATATAATCATTTTATGTTATATCTTATTTCGATATGTTTAAAACTATAAATTTCTCTTCATTTTGCAGGGAAAATAAAGCCGACTCGCTAGCCGCCATACTTTATTGCCGCATATCCCGTTAATCTACTACAATTTCTTTTGCCTATTACTTTATGGCGATCCATTAAATTGTGTAAACGAAGAACAAAACTATATTTTCTTTACCGTAATGCTTTATGATCGGCTGTCAATGCGAGTTTGCACTGCAATTTATTAAAAATCCAATCTTTCCAGCGATTTCCGCCTTCCCACCGCCAACATGCAACAACAACAACAACAACCAGCTGGTGAACCAAGCACCAACAACTTTTGAAGATGCCTCCAGCAATCGCCGGGCACTCAATTCACGCTCTCATTGCGATCAGTTGTCACAGCTTCAGCTTTAGCGCCCCCTCTCCCCTGGAGAGCCTAGAGAGTACTTGTATTTTG